GCTGTTGGGACGACAGTGGAGTACCTAGAGATCGAGTTCGATCAAGCCAAGTACGAAGAGTACTTGTCTTCTTCCTCCTCTGCTGGCGGTGCGTCCCGCAAATGCCACAGAGCCGTACGCAAAGGCCGACCTCAAACGGTCAAAGCCCCCACGCCTGAGGGTCCTACCCAAGTCTCGACAGGGGAACCCATCCCCTCAAACTCGATCAAGACCAAGCCAGAGATCGAGAGTACGGGACGAAAGCCTACCAAATGGGTCGCCAAGCAACCCTCGCAGACATCCGTCCGGGAAGAAACGCCGGGTCACTCTGGCACAAACCATATCACCGCAGCCCTGCGCGGGTGTTCTTCTCTCTAGAAGAGCTCGCCAGAACGGAGGCCCGAGCCTCCGTCTCTTACGACGGCCTGAAATACTATGCAGGCCCAAAAAATATTCGTCGAGGGGACAACTCGCCCGACGCTGGGAAGCTTTCTAAATCAATAGTGCCGACCAGAAGGGACGGGGCCACTCGCCCAGGTGGACATCGCTTCTCAGTTCATATCCCTGATGCGAATAAACCACTCCAGACAAGTGAACCCCCGAGGGCTGGCGAGTCCCGCCATAACCTTTTGGCGGATAAACATAAAGGCAAGGTAGTTGACGACACCTCACAAACCCGCCCGCACGGGATGGGGTCGAAACTCGCCAACATACTGGAGTTCGCCCAAACGCGAAGACCCGCCAGTCAAGGTGGGATCACCTAAAGCTCTCCACCCAGTGTACGCCAGAGAGTACATCCAAACCTCTCTCGTGTAACCACCCGGTTGATCCTTCTGACGTTGGGGGTTGTTGCCAACCACCCGCAGAAGACCTCCGGGGCTATTTGACTCGCAAGCGCACCATACATAAGGCCAATCCTCGGTGCCACTGTGAAAAGATCATCCAGACAGTACTCGCTGACTGTCAATGCACAGAAAAGGTGAAATCTTTGGTGTTCGAGAGACTCTCTCAACAACCTTCCCGACCAAGGCCCTCTCGTCGAAGGCGTCACCAACAAAAAGGGCGCGCCACCGACGATCGAGAACTCTCATCTGCTACTATCAACATGGCGGATAAGGGTAAAGCCGTCCTTCACGGTCCTCGGGATTCAGACTCCGTATTGGAACCTAATCCTCTGTTCGCCCGACATGAGCAAGACGGTGTATACCGTCACACTCGCAGTCGCACGGGGGTGAGCATTGGGTTCGATTATTTAGCCTTAATGCCCCCCTCTAACGGTGAAGACGAAACTCACTCGGCGGCAGCTACGTCCCAGACATCGCAATCAAGTCAGGACGTACTGGCGAGGGCACACATGGCCGACATCACCCACGACCAGACGATGGCCCAAAAGCTCGAGGAGCAACAGGTGACCATCGACTCCCTAAGGGAAATGATGGAGCAACTTCTCAACAAGAAGAAGAAGAAGAGAGCCTAACGCACCTTACACCGACGAGCAGGAGATAAGGATTGGGCGCCTCCCCATCGTCTACCAACTGAGACGGAGGACAATGCCAGCCCGCAATCCGACTACTCTTCCAAGACATCATTGGGTACGTCGCATACTGGGGATAACACCCACGACAAGAGGTTTGACGAGTTCCAGAGCCAGTTCAACGCTCTCAAACTTCAGCAAAACATGAACAAGCTGGGGGTGGTCCGACCCTATCCTGTTGAATGGGATACAGTCCCATACCCGGCGAAGTTCAAGCCAATCAGCTTGGTGCAGTTCGATGGCAAAGGCTCACCATCTCAACACATCTATTACTTCATGGCGCAGACCGGATTCCTTATGGGGAATGACGCCATTCTTACTCGATTGTTCATCGGCACCCTCAAGGGGGTGGCCTTTGAATGGTTCCTCAAGTTAGAACCCGGTTCCATCAAGTCATGGGCTGAAGCCGAGAGGCTCTTTCTGGCTTGCTTCTTCGATGACGACACGGAGGTGTCGATGGACACCCTCCTCGCCAAAAAGCAACGGAAAACGGAGTCAGTCAACGACTTTGTGAAGAGGTTCCGAAACCGGTCCGTCCACTGTCGGGACCAAGTCACCGAATCCACACTGATCGAAATGTGCCGCAATAACCTCTCCTATCCAAAGTGGGCGCGGTGGAAACGCGAACATGGAAGGAGCTTGTTCGTCAAGGCGAGCAAGTAGAAAACATGATCAAGAGGCTGGAGGCCGAAGATCCACAGCCCAAAAAAGGAGCTGCGGAATCAGCCATGCCAAAGAATCCCCCTCGAACAAAAGGAAAGGAGATCATGGCCATAGATTCCACCCCGGCGCCGAAGGCTGCTCAGAGGTCGAAACCCAGGCAATTTGAACCATGCCCCACACGGCATTATGACTTCAAAGAAGATGAGGTGGTGGCAACGCTCGATACTCTGCTCAAGAGCGGCCGGATCAAGCTACCGGAGGCTACAAAGGCCGAGGAGGCAGACAAAACTAACGAACTAGGTTACTGTGCTTACCACAAGTTCCTGGGACATCACACGGCTAAGTGTTACGTCCTCAAGGACAAACTCCAAGCTCTTTACAACGCGGGAATCCTAAAGAAGGAGAAAGTTCAAAAGCAGGTGACCACAAACATGATCACCCTGAGCTTTGGAACCGGTCTCCCAGAGGTCCAAGCCCCGGCAGGGAAGACTCCTATCCCTAAGACAGTCTTGAAGATCATCAATGATGACCCTTACAACCAGCAAGAGAAAGGTCTAGCTCCGCAAATTCTACCGTCAGGCTAAGTTATGTGGGTCCATCCGGACCTTATCAATGACGAACAATGGACTACAAAGCCCTCGAAAGAGGTTAAGGGAAAACATTGCCATGTCGTCTCCGCCATCATGGGTGGGGAAGAGACGGTAATGACCGCCCTGACCGATTCCGAGGAGGAAGCCACTGTTCTCGCCACGAGAGCAGGGAAGGAATTCGCGAAGGAATATCCTGCGAGGGTGGAGAACCCGGCAGGCCCTCCCGCGAGGCCAGCCGCAACAACCCCTCCTAATCCAGAGGGGCCAGGCTCAAGCCGCCAACATTTCCAGTTCAATGTGCTCGCGCAACTAAAGAGCATCCCTGTACGAATCACCATGTTCGATCTCCTACGACTGTCCAGGTCTACCTGGGATGCTCTGTAAGAGGCGCTAGCCGACTCGGAGGCTTTCTCCACCCACTTCTCGAGGGAGGAGGATGCAGGACAGGAATGCGCAACATGTTGCCAAACGTCCGAGAGACGGGTCCCGTGCATCACCTTCACCCCGGAGGACATGCTCATCAAGAGCACATCCTATGACCGACCGCTGTACTTCACGGGGTACGTCGGCTAGGCAAAAGTAGATCGAATCCAGATCAACCTAGGTTCTGCGTTGAGCATCGTCCCTTTGGAGTTGATCAAGCGCTTGGGGATACCGTCGAAGCACCTATCCTCGACCACGACGACCATCTTTGGCTTCAATGCCACGGGGACTCGGCCGCTCAGCAAAATCCGCCTGAAATGTCGGATAGGCGACATGAAGACGGAGGTGACCTGCTACGTCATCAATGCTGAACCCTCCTACAACATGCTCTTAGGACGTCCGTGGATCCATGCCAACCGGATAGTCCCCCACGTTGCACCAATGCCTGAAATACGTGGATAATTACGAATGAGTGAAGACGGTGGAGGCTGACAAGCAACCCTTCAAAGACGTTGAGAACTACTTCACGGATTCTCTGCTGTACCAAGACCCCGACGAGNAGTCGAAGAACTAGAGAGCGGCAACGAGGCAGACAGCGAGCCCGAATATGGCGATAATCTTATCCTGAATGACTTCGAGTCGATTGTAATTGGTTACGAGAGTCATAATGTAACCAACGTTGTTCAGGCAGAGAAGATTATCATGAATGAGAAGTCCGACTTTGTTTACTTGTCATCTTGTTCCACGTCCGAGGATGAGGATCCCAATAATCTGTTGTCAGAACTTTGTAGCGATCCCTCCCTGCACTTGCCGGTATGCTCGTCGTACGTCGCGAGGGCACAACCGATCAAATCATCGCAAGCTGTGTTCGTCGTGCCAGCCCGGAAGCATTATCGGAAAGACATTATCTTCGGCCGAATCGATCATCCCCTGCACACGCTATGGGATGAATCTGAGGATGAGGATCTAGCGCCCTAGTTTTTGCAATACAGTCAGGTTGCGAAGCGCATGATGAGCGAGATGGGGTATGACCTCACTCGTTTAGAGGGCCTGAATTACGGCCGAGGGCGCAAAACGGTCATCCGACCTGCTTACGTGCCCAAAGGAAAACCTTCCAATTACTTCAACAGGACTCGGAGAGGCTTAGGCTACTCCTCCTCCTCCTCGGAGTTGTGCTTTTACGCCAACGAAGATTCCGATTATGCGTGTTCGGTGGACCAATCGTCATCAACCTCGGCATGGGATTCGGATGTCAGCGTGAGGGATCTATTCGATAGCCTTACGATCAACATGGCTACGATAGATCCCTCCGAAATGGCAGAGGACGGACGAATCCCGCTCTATGACGAAACATGGGATCGCCATGTTAATGCCCAATGGAGCAGTCGCTTCGAGCAGCGTGAACCACCAAGATGAGGACGATGTTCGAACTCATGAGGACTCATCAACTCAAGATGAATCCTACTAAGTCATTCTTAGGGATGTCCAGTGGCAAATTCCTCGGCTTCGTCGTCACGACAAAAGGAATCCGGATCGACCCAGATAAGGTGTGAGCCATCCAAGAGCTTCGACCGCCCCAAAATCTCAAGGAGCTAAGAGGCCTTCAAGGACGATTGGCTTACATCCGGAGGTTCATCTTGAATCTTTCAGGTAAGTGCCAACCCTTCTCCAAATTAATGAAGAAAGGTACTTCCTTTGTGTGGGACGAGCCTTGCCAACGAGCCTTTGAAGAGATTAAGGACTATCTCTCAAATCCGCCTATCCTGGCGGCTCTGGTCTCCGGAAAGCCGTTCCTCATCTATATACAGGCTATGGAGCATTCTCTAGGCGCCCTCTTGGCACAAAATGACGACGCAGGCTACGAACAAGGCATCTACTACCTAAGTAGAACCATGCAAGGCACCGAACAGCATTACCCAATTATCAAAAAGGAATGTCTGGCCTTTGTGTTTGCCATCCAAAAGATGCGGCACTACCTGGTAGGCCAGACGATCCACGTCATCTCCCGGATGAACCCCATTCGAGTTTTCATGACGCAGCCTGTAGCACTGAACTGGCGTCTGGCCAGGTGGGCACTTCTGTTGTCCCAATACGACATCCATTTCATGCCGCAAAAGTCAGTCAAGGGACAGGCCATCTGCAATCTTATGGCTAGTCACCCACTGGGAGCGAAGGCCGACCTATTTGAAGATTTGCCTAACGAACCCCCCGAAGCCAACATCACTTCATCATCAGAGGTTTGGCAAATGTTCTTTGATGGCGCGTCCCGCGCAGGCGCGAGCGGCTCTATCGTTGCTGGAGTGGGGGTGGTCTTCACTTCCCCACACAACTACGTGTTACCCCGAGCCTTCTCGTTAACGGAGCCCTGCACCAACAACATGGCTGAGTACAATGCGTTACTCATCGGGCTTGAATTAGCGAAGGAATTAGGGATAAAGCGCCTCGAGGCGTATGGCGACTCTTAGCTCATCGACAAGCAAGTAACTGGCGAGTATGAGGTCAGAAATGACGATCTGATCCTACTTCACAGAGCAGCAATCAAGCTGGTGGGGTCATTCGAAAGCTTCCACATCGAACACGTGCTATGTTCCAAGAACACACATGCGGACACCCTTGCTTCCTTGGCAGCCAACCTGGCCCAACCACTGGGGACGTCCCAATGGGTCACGGTAGCAAGCCGGAAGCTCTTTCGACCGAGAGATGTCCCAGAGGCAAACACCACTCGTCAAGTCTCAGATCAACCCGATCTGGAGGACTGGCGTGTCCCAATCATCTATTACGTTCTGTACGGCATGTTGCCCGAAGACGCAAAGGAGTGAGAATCCGTCCGGCGACGTGCTTCGAGGTTCTATTACGATTCGGCCACCAAGACGCTATATCGGAGGTCATACGACGGCTTGTTGCTTCGATGCCTTTCAAAGACAGAGGCGCAGGAGGCCCTACGTGAGGCCCACAGCAGCACCTGCGGGGCTCACCAACCTGGACCCAAGCTTTGGGACCGCCTGCGAAGAATAGGCTATTTTTGGCCTGGGATGGTTATCGACGCAGTCGCCTACGCAAGGCGCTGCCACGAATGCCAAATCCACGCCAACTATATGCACCAACCTCCCGAAGACTTGCACCCGACAAAGGCTTCCTGGCCATTCGAAGCGTGGGGGATGGACATAGTCGGACCAATATCCCCGCCATCGCGAGAGGTCATCGCTTCATCCTTGCGATCACCGACTACTTCTCTAAGTGGGCCAAAGTCGTCCCCTTAAGAGAGGTCAAGACCAATGACGTGATCAAATTCATCAAACACCATGTCATCTACCGATATGGCGTACCCCGGCGTATCATTCATGACAACGGCACGCAGTTCGTCAGCCATGCATTCACCAGGTTTTGTGACAAGTTCCGAATACAAAATCTGTCATCCACAGCCTACAACCCTTCGGCGAATGGTTTGGCCGAGGCCTTCAACAAAACAATCATCAAGATTTTGACCAAGCTAACCTCCACGAGCAAACACGACTGGAATGAAAAGTTGGGCGAAAGCTTATGGGCATATCGCACAATGGTTCGCACACCAACTGGCAGCACGCCCTATTCATTGGTATACGGCTGTGAAGCCGTGTTACCTTTGGAGATTCAAATCTCGTCCTTCCGCATTGCCCTAGCAACAGGGATGACAGTTGAGGATAATCACCAACGACGGCTCGCAGAGCTTAAAACGTTGGATGACAAACGATTAGAAGCTCAAAAGCACATTGAGTTCTATCAAGCCCGAATGGCTAAAGCTTTCGACAAGAAAGTCAGGCACCAAGACTTCAAGGAAGGGGAACTGGTACTGGTCGTTCGCCGACCGATGATCCTCACTTCCAAGAAGAAGGGAAAATTTCAATCCAAATGGGAGGGACCATTTGTAGTAGAGACAGTCTACTCGAACGGCGCCTACCGCCTCGTTAAACCAAATGGTGATAGGATCATGATGCCCATCAACGGCAAATATCTGAAGAAGTACTACCCCTAGTTCTTCTTCACCAACTCCCATGAGTGCACGAGTCTAAACTGGCCCACACATCCTCCAACTGGTATAAGAGGTAAAACTATTCCTACACATCCATTCTTGAGTCAGGTTATCAGTACAGGCGAATCGCTGAGTACAGGCAAACCGGTCAGATCAGGCGAACCGCTAATATCAGGCGAATCGCTCAGATCAGACAAGCCTATTAGTCTAGGCGAAATCCCTTCTAGAGCCGGATTACCAGTACAGGCGAATCGCTGAGTACAGGCAAACCGCTCAGATCAGGCGAACCGCTGATATCAGGCGAATCGCTCAGATCAGACAAGCCTATCAGTCTAGGCAAAATCCATTTCCGGAGCCAGACTCCCAGTACAGGCGAACCGCTCAGTACAGGCGAATCGCTCAAACCAGATAAGCCTACCAGTCTGGGCGAAATCCACTTCTTGGGCTAAACTACCTGTTTTGGCGAACTTCTCAAAACAGGCGAGACTAGCATCTCAGGTGGGCGACATCAAACGCCCACTTAGTCAAACCTTCAAACAGTTAGGACCAGAGCCACAATCCCCCGCCAATCCTCTTCAATAGGATGGCGGGACCCCCACTGTCACTTTCGACAAAATCAACTTACCAATCCTCTTCTAAAGGATGGTAGGCCCTCAAAGTCGTTCCAATCACGACAATCTCTGTCACGTTAACATCAAACCTCTGACAAAAATCCACTTACTAACCCTCTCTCAGAAGAATGGTAGGTCCCCATAGTTGCTCCAATCGCAACAAATCCCCATCAGGTTAATGATCACCTCTGATGATTGGCGCCGTTATTCCTACGAGTAACACAGCCCAAAGTAATAACCTACCATGCGACGTGTTATTACTTCTGTCAATAGCCACACTCCTACGTCTCTGAACTACTTGACCTATTCCAGATATTCTAAGATACCCTTAGGATAACTGATGGGTAGTAGCCTACCACGCGATGGCTCCTACAACAATCGATCGTCACATTCTGACATCCCTGAATGATTTGATTATCAT